AATCTTCTTTTTGTAGAAATTAAATGAAGAGACAAGATAATTTACTTATACGAAAATCCTCTCTACGAGCTTAAATAGTAACTTCATTTTATGCTTAATCATCATAGAAAATTAAAAATATTTCATTCTAATCAAATCATGACAAGAAATATTTTGTTCACGTTAAAAAAAAGATTTCTTTTTGTTTTTGTGTTCAATTTATTGATATGAAAAGACACCATTAAAGATTTCCGAAACCATAATTGATTTAAATCTATCAAAGTTTGTTATAATTATTCAACAGAATATCGAACAAGTCCATCATAGCTTGTATTTTGGCCATATTTAGCATAGATAGCTACATCTTTTGAACCAACTGTTATCTCTGTTTTTAAAATAGGATCTTCATATCCGTTTGTGTTAATCCAGTTAGAGTCAACTTGTAAGTCAACTGCAGTTGCTCCAGGAATAACACAATGAATTGGCACAATAGCATCTTTCTTAAGTACACCATGAAGTGGTTCATAAATTCGACATTTATAAGTTGGAAATTTCGAATATGTTAGAGGAAATTTAATTGGTTTTCGAAGTTTTGTTACGTTGAGATCGAACTCTGCAACTGCACCGTACGATGTTTGAAAATCAGATAGACGTCGAGCATAAACAATGAGTTTATGTAGACCTGTACGTTGAGGTGCAAACAAAAATTGCCATTGTTGTTTATTATTATCAAATTGTGCTAATGTACAGCTTTCTTCTTTATTGCCATTAAATTCGATGCCACATGAGAATTCAACATCATTAGGTGCTGACATACGAATTTCAGTGAAAGATGCATTCTCAGGCCATACAGCAGTAGAACGATGTCGTGGTGTTTCTATTTTGAGATCAAGCTCATAGAAGAGTGGCCACGTCTGTGGATAGGATAATGGTGGTGTTGGAATATTTTTAGCTTCGATCTTAAATGTTACAGCAGATGTGTAATGACCTGTATCTGTTTTTTTCTTGGCCAAAATTTCAGCATCGAATATCCCATTACAATTCGGTGCAAATTTGCATCGCCAGAAATTTTTATGTCGATCATAAAATACTTCATGTCCACCTTCTATTTTTTCGTTCTGAATATTTACAAGCCGTCCAAGTAATTCGACATTGTTAGGTGTTTGAATTACAATTTCTGCGTGTATTTGTCCATTATGTACTTTAATCAAATGTGTATTTTTCGGTGAAATTACATTTAGATTTAAATCAAAGAATATCTGCCATGTTTCTGGAAAGCTGATTGGATTTTTTGGTATTTCATTAACATTAAGAGTTAAATCAAGCGCTCCACTGTATTTATCTTTTGAATCACCTCGTTTCCCATAAATTGTAATTTTATGTTTACCAATAGTATTCGGAGCAAAATAACAACAATACATTTGTTTTTTGTTATCAAATACAACACGATGACCACCTTCAATTTTTTGATTATGTAATTTTAAATCTGCTATTAGTCGAACATCAGATGGTACTCGTATAAGAACTAAGGCATATGATTTTTCTGGAAGGAGATCAACATAAGCTTGATTACGTGGACTAATCAAATCAAGATTCAATTGAAAATAAATAGGATGGATTTTAGGCATTCGTAAATATTGTTTCATATTAATTGGTTTTCGTAATAATTGCCATTTGTCATTTTCAGGTAAATGATGATAAATCATTTCATTAGGACGAGCAAAAAAATAATAAGATTCTAATTCATGTTGAAAAGTTTTTTGTTCTGTAAGATGTCCAGCACCCCATGTTGATTCAATCAAATACCAATGATGATCAATTTCAACAGCATTCCATGCATGATCTACCTCATCAGGTGCACCTTCACGTTCATCAAATCCATAACCTTTCGAATAACCACTGATTTTTTCACATGGTATATTCAATTGATCACACAGATATTTATATATATTTGCATAACCAGCACAAACACCTTTTTTTGTTCGAAATACACCTTCAGCTGTTTGGTCTTTATAGTTTTTGCTAAAATAAGACACAGTATCGTATTCAATATTATACGCAATCCAATAGAAAATAATCCAATTGCAATCTACTGATGATTTATTTTCTGATAAAGATTTTACAGCATTAACTAATTGTTCAAGTGAATTTGGACGCCATGATTGAATAGTTAAACGATAAGACTGATTGTTAATCGCTTGTTGACGTTGTTGAATAAATGAATTATTGAATGCTTGTGGATCAGCAACTTCAATTTCAACAAAATCATTATCGTTTGCTACAGTATCAATGATAGGATTTTTTTGTGTATTGACGAGAGAATTTACTAATTGTTGATTATCATTAACGTTTTGAATGTGCTCATTAGTTAAAGAATTGGTACGTTTTTTCTTTTTCTTTTTTTGTTCAGAGTCATTTGGGTTTGTTATTGATGGTGTTGTTGGTTGAGGAATGGCATCAGGTACGGGATGTTTGACTGGGATTGGTTCTTTTACTGGTGCAACTCGACTCCATTTGCAACCCATTCTTATTCTTTTTCTAAGATAGACGAAGAAAAACTTCT